GCTATGAGTCCCAATATATAAATGGAAGCTTAAGAAAAAATAGTCAAAGAATTAAAGAAAAATATGTTCATTTTGTTGTCAGCATTAACCTGGCAACAAAACTGGCTTAGACTATAAGAAAGGTAAAAACAAAACAAAAAGTGATCAACTGCCCTTATCAACATGGACACAGGTATTTTCAAATATAGACATGCAAACCAAATTCAGGAGCATATTAAGAACACCAGGAGCTACAACTAAGATGTCTTCGTCTCATGGGAGGATTGGTGCAGCATATCAAATCAATTCCTGTATTCTACACATAAAAAGACTTGAAGACAGAAATGAAGATCCTCTCGATAGATGCAGAAAAGCTGTTTGACAAACTTCAACATCCTTTCATGATAAAAGCCTCGGAAAAGTTAAAGGACTGTGAATCAAAATAATAAAGAGATAGATAGATAGATAGATAGATAGATAGATAGATAGATAGATAGATATAGATATAGATATAGATCTTCAAGGACTAACATTATGCTAAATAGGAGAAAGCTAAATTTTTTTCTCTCTTATTACTCTTACTATAGTGCTTTAAATCTTATTCAGCAATAAGACAAAATGAAAAAATAAATGGGATGAAATAGAAAAGGAAGGAGTCAAAGTATCCTTTTTGTGGATGAAATGGTCTTCTGCTTAAAAGACACAAACATTTTAGAAAACACTTTCTGATGATTAGACTTAATAGTCAAGGCAAGCAAGAATTACTTGGAAAGAAAGCCTTAATATAAAATTTTCCAGAACAAGTAGGCCTTGGGCATATCTATATCTGTTAATTCTTAATTTATCTAAGAAGACTTGGCTCATTGTGGGTAATACCTGTCCCTAGGCAAGGGTTCTGAATAAGAGAGAAGGCTGAGAACAAACACAAAAGCATCCATGCCTTTAATGTCTTCTTGCTCTTGACTCTGATGTGATGCTTCCTGCCTGGACTTCCCTACATTAATTAACTATATAACTGGAATTGTAAGTGAAATAATCTCTTCTTTAAGTTGCTTTTCACTAGGTGATTTCATTAAAATAAAACAGTCTTAGACTTGATAAACTGCTTCAGCAGAGTAATAGATTACAAAGTCAATATCTGTAAGTCAGATCTCTCTAAGTAAAAATAATGGGAAAAATCTCATTCACGGTAGTTTACAAATATTTTTAAAATACAAGAAACAAGGTGGCAAAAATTCTTGCTAATAAAATATTAAAGCACAAGAGAAAGAAGTTGAAGAATACACCAAAAAAAAAGAAGAATGATGTGCCACTGACAAAATTAGTACTGTGAAAATGGCTATGTTACAGAAATAAAACTACAGAGTCATAATCCCCTCCAAAATTTCAGTGATTCTTTTCATAGGACAACAACAAAGAATTCCAAATTCATATTAGAAGTACAAAAGATTCCAATGACCAGAGCAATCCTGAACAGAAAAAAAAATAGGCTTGGAGTACCACAATATCTGATGTCAAATTCTGCAAGAACTACAGTAATAAAAATAGCATGGTACTATCACTCAGCAGATACAGGGTAGATGGGCGAACCCATAAACAAGCCCAAAGAGTTATTGTCATTTTTTTTAAACAAAGTTGCTAAAAAATTAGACTGAGGGAGGGGCTCCTCAGTAAATGTTGCTTGGATAGCTAGATCCAAAATCTAGTTATCTGGACAAAAATCAACTCAAAACAAATGAAAGGCCTTAATGTAAGACTTTACCTTAAAATGAATAGAATAAGATATAGATAAGTTGTGACTTAATGCCAGGTACATGCATAGACTTTCTGAAATGAAAGTGAGCACAGGAAACAAGCCTCTTATTTGACAAAAGGGATTATGTGATTCTAGAGGCTTCTCTACAGCCAAGGAAACAATCATGTAAGACAGCCTTTACAGACTGAGAAAAACACATACCAACTATATGTCAGACCAAGGGCTAGAATTTAGATAATATAAAATAACTGCCGATGAAAAATAATCTTATCATATAAATAGAAGAAATGTAAATGGCCAATAAATATTTGAAGAAATGTTCAACTCTTTAGCCAACTGGGAAATGCAAATTAAAATGGATTTAAAATTCCCACTTGTCCCAGTCAGAATTCCTAACACCAATAAAATCCATGGTGGTAAAGATGTGAGGAAGTGAGACCCCTATGTAGGGTTGATCATCTTGTAAATGTTGTGTAACCACTATGGACACCATTATGGTAGCTTTCCATAAAAGCTAAACTAGTATATGACCCAGCTACACCACTCCTAGTTATATACCCGTAGAATTAAAACTGTTAACTACAGGTACCTATACATCTGTGGTACTGCTTCGCTTTCTACAGTAAATAGAAATTAAAAAAAAATCATAGTTTAGATGATGACCAAAGATGAATGGATAAAGAAAATGTAGCTCATATGCACCATGAAATTTTGTTCAGCCACAAAAACTGAATTAGGACATTTGTAGGAAAAAGGATGAAACTGGATATCATTATATTTATTGAAGTAAGCTAGATTACAAAGGACAAATATCACATCTAGTCCCTATTGCTGAAGACACTGTGTACTTTGGATGGGGTACCAGGAAAATCTGAGCTGATTCTAAAACAAAAGCCTCCTTCCTGGGGACTATTTACATAGTATCAGAAGATGTCATAGACTCTCTCCCAAGGGAGGCAACCAATAGTCCTACCCAGTTATGATTCCTCTGAACCACAACAATGGACAGTATAAGGAGATAACATTAAGCTTACAACAGTACACACTTTGTTGATACCCAACATCTCTCTATTGGATGTAAGGTCTACTCAACAACAGGGAAATCGTTTCTGGGACTGGTAACCTAGCCAACTACCTGTAGCTAGTGAAGTCAGGGATCTTGAAAGCAAACCTAACACTACCACTTTACTAGAATAGAAGAATATCTGTTTACATTCTAACATTTATCCTTATATTCATAGATAAGTAAGTATAGATCTTACCATATGTGAAATTTTAGATTTAGATGTAGCTTTAGCTCTTCCTCCCTTCTTGTCCTCCTCCTCTTCCTCTTCTTTGTCCCTCTGTCCCTCTGTCCCTCCCTCCCTTCATCCATCCATCCATCCATTCTTCCTCCTTCCCTCTCCTCTCTCCCTCCCTCTTACCCACCCCCTGCCCCAGTGGATCATGGGAGAAGTAAAGGCTCCATATGATGGTTAGTGCCATTACTTTATTAAAATTTAGAATTACATAGGAGAAAATTCTCTGGGTATATCTGTAAAGGCTTATAGCCTCAAACTATGAACCAGAATAAGTTTGTTTTCTTGTAACTACCATTTGCCAGAATACTAATGGGAAAAGAGGTAAATAGAATATAAATGGAATAGAACATGAAACCAGAGAGGGGATGAGTGTGGGGTGGCTCTTGAGAAGAAAGGGGACCACAAGAAGAGAGAGGGCAGTGTGTATGGGAAATCAGGAAGAGGAATGGCAGAGGGTAGTGGGAAGAAGATTGGATCACAACAGAGTATATTGACATACATGTAAGAAAATGTCACAAAGTAATCCATTACTTTCTATGTGTAAGTATCCATTTTAAAAGTCAACATAATATACAGAATAAAATATGTTAAGATTTTAGAAAGGCTGTAGAATCATCTTAACAGTTGTGTCAGAAAAGAAAAACACACTTAGAGGCTCAAGAGGACTGAAAATTACTGATATAAGCAAACAAGCAAACAAAACCAGTAAAGTACAAGAAATCACACACATGGGACATTAAAAATGTTACCTTATTTTCTCTTCTCTAAGTTTTGGCAGAACACAAGTGACTGATTGCTGACCCAAACATTGTAGTTTTACAACTTGTGTGTTTGTGAACATTACAGTAAAAACACAGTTAACTATTTGACTGAGCACGGGGACCCCAATGGAGGAGTTAGAGAAAGGACTGAAGGAGCTGAAGGGGTTTTCAACCCCATAGGAAGAACAATAATATCAGCCAACCAGACCACCCAGAGCTACCCGGGACTAAACTACTAACCAAAGAGTACACATGGAGGGACCCATGGCTCCAGCCAAATATGTAGCAGAGGATGGCCTTACAGAACATCAGTGGAAGGAGAGGCCCTTGGTCCTGTGAAGGCTCAATGCTCCAGTGTAGGGGAATGCCAGGGCTGGGAGGTGGGAGTGGGTGGGTGGGGGAGCACCCTCATAGAGGCAGGGGAAGGGGATGGGATTGGGAGGGGTTGTGGGGGCAGACTGAGAAAGAAGATAACATTTGAAATGTAAATAAAGAATATATCTAATAAAAAATGAAACAGGATTGAGGAAATGGAACCTGAGGAAACTTTATTTCACTGAACTGCTCCAATACTGACATTAAGACTGTTGCAAACACAACACAAAACAACCCCCCACCCACCACCACCCCCGCCAAAGACTTTCAAAGATATAAAAGCATTACAGAGCAGTAGGGATTCATAGAGAAAGCAGTACATCAGCCCTCACCCCCAAATCCCCAGGCTGGAGAGTCACCTGCTCTGGAAATGCAAAGGCCCTTGAATCCCGCTGTGGCTCACAGCTCCTGAGAGCCTATGTGGTTGATCTCATATATTTGTCTTCCAAGCACAATTCTTCACAGGCATGTTTTGATCTTGAATGTTTTTGGTATCTCTCATGTGGTCAGTATAGATATGCATATTCACAAGCTCAATTTCTTGGTCCAACAAATTGAAAATATTACATTTTGCTAAGACTTTGATGTTAGTTTCTTTGTTTCATGCTTTCAATAAAATACTCTATTTCTTCATTTGAGAAGTATTCTTGGCAATTATTACCGACCAGAACATAATTGTTATATCTATTCTGACACAAATCAAGTGCAAAGGAAAATGGAAAATTCCAGAACTCCACTTCCAAGTGCCAGCCCCCAAGTAAACTCCTCCCAGAGCACAGCTTGCAAGGCCAAGTTCTCATCAGCTTCTTCAGGTCAAGCAGTGTCCAGTTGTGGTTCTGAGTGAAGTCAGGGGACATTTGGGTTCATCCACTTCCTTCAGTTTCCTATGTAGGGCTGAACCACTTTAGTTTGATAAAAGCATGTGTGCCTGAGAGCAGCAATTAACCAAGTAACCTAAGTCCTCTTTAGAGAGTCAGAAATCATGAGCAGGCCTACTCCTGACCACACCCGCACCCTATTCCCAGTTCCTCTCCCTCTCAGAACAAACTGGTTCCTCCAGGGTTGGGATGAGCTGAGTAGTGAGGCTAAGAGACAAGAGAGCAGCTGATTTCCGCCGCCAGCAGAGGAGTGGTTCGCAGCTCAGCTCCGCGGGCTTTGCTGGCGCCCACAACTTGTTTACCCTGCACTTGGCTGGGGTTCAGGACGCCGGCGCCCCACCCTGCAGGAGCCTTCCCGGGAAGGCTCGCCCCGCTGCCCCGCGTGGATCGCCCCAGCTCCTCGGCGTCTACCGCCTCCCCCGGGCAGGACATAGAGCGCGATCGGCGACGCCTGCAGCTGGGGGCGGTGAGAGGGGCCAGAGGGGATGCGGGAGATTTGGGGGATGTGGGAGATTTGGGGGGATGCGGGAGATTTGGGTGATGCGGGATGGAGGGCGCGGGATCCTTGGCAGTGGAGGAGGCGGGGCAGCGCCGCAGGCTGCAGCTCAGCCGCAGGTGGTTGCGCAACTTTCACTTCGTGAAGTGGGGTGGGGTTTCCTGTGTTGGGGTCCGCTTGGTACCCACCTCAGGTCTTGATAGGGCAATGCAGTCCCGGGTGAGGGCTCTATGGGAGAGTCATTCAGCCTTGGTGACATGAACTCTGGAGGGTGCAGGCCCTTTCCAGGAGACCCCAGTTCACCCGTTTCCCTCTTGCTCCAGTGACGGCCCGTCCCCTCCTTGCGGCTCTGTGGGTCTCTCCTCAGGCCTCAGGCATAGATGTCTTCAGATAACTTTGCAAGGTTTGTGGGCAGGGGCTAAAAGATAGAGCCAAGTTTGTTTTTGTTGTTGCTGTTGTTGTTGTTTGTTTTCTTTCCCCGTTATTTTACACAGTACATTAGCCTTTTAGGACTTAGAATTTTTTATCTTTTATTGTGTGAATGCATATACTCTTAAGAACTGCAATATGTTTGGGGTTTTATTTTGTATAGAGTATTTTGAGTGGAACCAGCAAGAGTAACAGAAGTTCATTATGAAGACATTATGCAATAAGGTTGATTTCCAAGATACTTCTGGGATACGGATGCTACTGCAGAAGTAAATACATCCTCCACCTTCCAGCTTCTTGTTATGGGAAATAAGGAAGTAAGGCATTATGTTACCATTAAATTAGCGGGACATTGTATGGGGCTAGTGACATCACCAGAACAGAGGACACAAAGATGTCACAATATGCATAATTTAAGTACATACTTTTAAATGTCCACAAGAAGCAGTTGATACACTTGTAGAGACAACAATAAAGTTAATAAGCTTTCCGGTTTCATCACACTTTGTAAGTCTTTTGAGGCTCAACTGCAGGCAAACTGGAAAGTACACTGAAAATACACTTTAGTATAAAATGACAAAAAATTGACAAATCCATTTAAACTATGGATTGTGAATAAAAATATGAATATGAAGCTCTAGGGATTAAAATTATGCTACACAGGAAAGTCCAATAAAATATATTTTCTTAGGTGATAATAGCGTGTCCATAAAATAATATATAATTAAACAGAATGCTAACTGATACATAGTTTGACTATTTGAAAGAATTGCCACACTGCAATTTAAATATATATATATGGCAGCTCATTTTATATAAAAATGGGCATTCTAAAGAATGAACAGACAGTAGAATACTACCAGTAAAACTGAAGGAGGAGTAAAGGATAAAATAAAAATGGGTATTTAATAAATATACATTTTAAATACGTGGAAGGGGACTGGTGGATAACATTTAAATTGATCATGCGTGGACCACTTGGCATTTATTTGGGTAAACTAATAATAAAACTGTTATTGTAGTTAATATAAAATGTGTTAATATAAAATGTAGTCAGGATGGCTAATTTGAATACTGTTGCATAAAACCTGAAGGTTTATGTACATGAGAAATGGGAAGCATCATACAAAACCTGGGCCCATTAAGAACATATTTGTGAGCATACGTACATAAAAATCAGATATGAACGAGGGATACTGTTGTTAGAAAAAAGAAAGGTAATTTCACCACAGCTTGTACTGGTGATAATCCATAGCACAGTTGAAAAGGAACTCAAGGAAATGATAAGTAAGATTCCCAGACACAAGGGTGATCAAAAAAAAAATTTATGTAATTAAAATACAATGCTAACTTTTACTTGACCTGACTTTGAATATCCAATCATTTTGTTGTTGCTGACACAAGAAAAATGTACACATATATACTTGCAGTAGAAATGTGAGTTGGCAAAATGTGTCATAAAGAGATAGCTGTGGATAGTTGCCTTCATTATTTATCTTTTGTAACTTGTCCTGTGACAGTGCTTGCCCAGGAGAAAATAAAAATCTCTGTCACAAGTCTACCTTAAAGATACTCATGATAGCATTCTCTGTAATGCAGCAAGCCTTGAAATTGTTTGGAAATCATCTGCTAGGATTTAGGGGCTTAATTTGATGCATCAGGAGATAGAATATACATACTCCTAAGCTTTGCAAAGGCCTAAATGTTCTACCATGGAAGTGTGGCAAAGTTCTAGTTAAAATACAAACAGGAACAACAAGCACACAACAGTGTATACACACACTCACAACATGTATGTATGCTGCAGCCTTTGAGACGTTTGGAATGCAGAATGAATTATTGTTGCTTTGAGTGTTTATATATTCTTACATATTTCTGTGTGCGTGTCTATAAAGAAAATGTTATAATAAGAAAAATGATAAAGTTGCAAAGTATCCATGGTTTGTCATTCATGTATATATTTCCTTTACAGATAAAGTAGCTATCTGTTACTCTAGAAAAAAAGTATTATCTTTCCTGAAGAATTTCATCTTCTTTTCATTTTCTTCTTTTAAAGATCCTTTTGAAAGAAACTCCATTTTGTCCTTCATGAATATTGATGGTTAAAATGTTTGTTATAGAAACAAAAGTGCAAGCTTTTGTGCACTGCCATATTCATTAACTTTGCTAAAATCAGAAAATATAGGCAAGTTCATATTCCTATATTTCACCAACATTGTGCTAAAACACAATAATACATATTCTTCTGGATTCAATACATAGATATATTCTTCTTCAAGAAGAAGAACAGCTATTGAGAAAACCAGAAACTAAACCATAAGAAAAGCGAAAACTTTGGAAGAAATCATAACATAAAATAAAATTTTAATGTTCTTCATATAAATGACAAAGAAAAGAAAACTAATAAACAGAAAATGACCAGATGACAAATGGGACTTTTCCAGCAATGGAGATGTAAATGACTTCCAGATGAAATTACAGCTACTCACCCTAATCCATTACAGAACATTTGAGAAACCAAGCCAAATTTTCTTTTCCTTCAAGATGGACAATAACCAACACTGTGAGAACCCACTGTATTGTTCATTTATTTGTCCACTATGTGAACTAATTTAAATTCTTTAGATATCTATTTAACAGTGTTTAAAATGCACAAAAAATTGTACCTGTTGACTTTACTTCTGGAATTTAAAATGTTGATATAGAGAGTTACCTACATGAGTGTTTCCAAATTGTTTGTGATATCATAAATTATGGAATAATGTAAAATTTCACTGTTAAACAGTCAAGCCAGTCAGTTGAATATATTCAATTATTAAATGAGAATAGACATTTTAATATTACAGGATATAGAAGGCTCCACTCTGTACTAAAAAATAAACATGCACATAGTATTACACACACACACAAATGCGCGCGCACACACACACACCACACACACAATATTACATACACAAAACTACGCAGTATGGCTAAATAGCCATGATGCAAAAAGTACAATATATGGATGAGAAAAGGGGATAGAATTTTTTTTATATAACTTCTTAACTGCTTGAGTAAATAGTCACTTTCTGACAATGTATGCTTTAAGAATTCTCTTTAATAAGTATATCTTTTCAAGCTTACCTAAAGTAAGCCACAGGCCTGCTGTTTATCTATCAAGAAGGTGGCACAAATCATCTATATAAATGTAGAGAAAATATTTTTGTATACTGTGTAATAAAAACATTTCCTTTTTGATATCTAAAATAAAAAGAGCAAATCATCTTTTTAAACAGTTTGGCCAGGTATAATGTTAATTGTCTGCTGGTTTGCTGCTCACTCTGCTTCCGTTTTAATCCATCCATTAGTTTGGAGTGTAGTCCCACAGGATCTTAAGGAAATAGTCAACTGTACAGTTTTTCTTTGGAAGGATTCATGCTATGACTAAAATAAGGAATCATTTAGGTTATAAATGCAACAGCCAGTTTTGATTTGAGTTTTGTAATGGGTCCATTTGTTCATTGAGAAGTGGCTTCTCTGGTTTCTTGGAGGGTTGAGTTTATGTAGGGAAGTTTTACAATGTATGTTTTGCATATAGGTCTGGTGGATTTATCTTCGTGACATTTTTTACTGTCCCTTTTATCTTGTCAATGAAAAATCCCCATCTACACTGCCTGCATCAGGTACTTTCTTAATACCAGCCTGTGCACCAGCACCTCTTCCGTCGCAGAACTATGGAATATGGCTAACCGGGTCCTTTAGTGGCCCTTTACAATCAGCCTCTCCACTACTTGTTTTCTCGGCATGAAGAAACCCATAAAACAAATCAATGCTTCACATCGCAGATGCCAAGAAGCTGGCTTAAGATCTATGTACAGAGATATATGTATTCAACTTTTATGTCTGGCAGACTTCAAGGGCTCTTTCGTTATGAATTCACTATGAAAGAGTCCATAGCCAACTTTGTTTCCAGTTGATTTTTTTTAATGTTCAGATTATAATATGCCTATTATAGAAAATGTAAGAAAGAAAGAGTGTTGGTTTTTTTGACAAATTTTCTCCTTTATGTATTTTAACCAACTATAATTTAATAGTATTGAGTGTACTGTAAACATAATATGTTTCTGGCAAGACCGTTTGTTTCTATATTTCCCTGGGTTTTTAGTTTATGATATTCTACTGTGAGATGCTCTCCCAACCAGCATGCTACAGTACCATGTAGCTTACAGTTACTGCTGCTTGCTTGTAGTCTGCATTCATTTACAGAAAATAAAAATGCCACTTAAAGCAAAACTATTAATGAGTCTCTGGACTTAAAACAAAAAAAAATTACTTAGATTCAAGAAAGGGACTACAGAGAATGGTACATTAATTGTTCTCTTCCCTCTTCTGTTGTCCTCTCTTGTCCTCTCCTCCTTTTCCCTCTCTCTCTTTCTCTTGCTTATTGGTCTTCTGTCTGATCAGTTTTTTGCATAGCTTTTTTGTTTTTTCCAAAACTTCTTAGTGACTTTCGGAGAAACAGTTATACAGAGGAAATGTAGAAATGTCACTTTAAAAAAAATCTGCTTGCCTAATTTCTTTTTCTAACACAACTGTCCCAGCAGGAATATTCAGGATAACTTTGAATGGAGAAGACACTATGAACACTCTTGTGCTTTTGGTCCTAGAGGAACTAGTCTTTCTTGCTTCTTTTGCTAGCTATAGAATACTTCATGGGAGTCTTGGCTAGATTAAGGAAGTACCATTCTCTTTCTAGGTTATTGAGTGTTTGGCTTTATATTTTTAACCAAAAAAAAAAAAGGAAATTGGATCCCTTTGATGTTTTGGGGGGTGTCTATTGAGATTGAGTGAAGTTTTGCTATATTGGTTGATCTTTATCTAAAATTATATTATTAGCTATAAAAATACACTAATAAAAGTTTTAAGAAAAAATAAAAAAAGAAATATATTCAAGTAAGTAAAATGCTATATTGTTATTGAGATAAATCTCGCATGTATACAGTGTATGTATAGTGATGTGGCCTGAGTTTGTCCTGTAGTGTTTTGTTAACTTCTGGGGTCAAGTTCTTAAGCAATGTTTATAGCTCTGTTTTCATAGTGTCTGAGTTTGGTCATATATCAAGGTCACTCTGACCTGACAAAGTTAATTAGGATACATTCACTCTTAACTTCTAGGAGATTTGTGAAAGCTGAACATTCATTCTTTTTTTAAATGAATTTTGTATTTTATCAGAGAAGTCCTATGTTCTTAGTTTCTCCCTGTGGAAACATTCTGCAATACTGCCTTATTATCTTGCTGTAATTCTGTTCAGGTTTTCTGCTTTTTACCAAGTCACCTTTAGTGGTGGGTCCTTCTAGGAATCCCTATGTTACTTGGTTGATCTAAACTCTGTGTGTGTGTGTGTGTGTGTGTGTGTGTGTGTGTGTGTGTGTGTATTTTCTATAATAAGGGCATTATAATATGACCTTTAAAAAATAAACAAAAGCAATATTGACAGAATACATGGTAGGGCTCAAACCCAGGACTTCACCCATGTTGAGAATTCATTCACCATTGAGTTGCATGCTTGACTGTGTTCCTTTGTTTTTCTATGGTTTCTCTGTATGACTGGATAATTTTCATTGATTGTTATTAACTTAGTAGCTTTTTGCACAGTCTCCATTTGTCTATTAATTTCATCCAGTGATGTTTAAATTTCTGTTGTTGTATTTGCTCAGTTCTAAAACATATCGACTTTTTATATCATTCATTTCTTTGCTGATACTTTCAGTATTGGGTTTTTTTAAATTTTATTTAATATTTGTGTACATGATGCATGTGTATGGGTGGCTGTGTCCACAGCATATATGCAGAGGTCAAAGGACAACCCTGAGCAGTCAGTTCCTTCTTCTTCTATCTTGTGTGGGTTCTGGAGATCAAACTCAGGTCATGCTTGTATGGCAGGTTTCTTAACCCAGTGAACCATGTCTTAGCCCTGGAGCATTAAAAAAAAAAAAAAAAACTAAATTATTGGTAAGGTAAGTCAACATTGCCGTCATTCTAGCATTAACATCCTTTGATATTTTTTCCTTAGGTGTTGACCTTTTTCTAGTCTTTTTTTTTTGCCATATTTTTTTGTTGCTTCCTACACATCTTGAGTATTATTTGGGAGAACCTGATTCTTTTTAAACTCCATGGAGAGAGCTGACTGTCTCTCTGTTTGGCCAGACAGTGCATGTACTTGGTTGGAGGCCTCCCTTCTTGGCCAGCTTCTGAGTGTGTGACTTCAATGGCAGCTTTCTTTTCTCTGTCATTCAGAGAATGTTGTGTCTTGAGTGGACACAACACAGCACTCAGTCTTTCACTTGGACACTGTTCTCTTTTGTGTAGATCTCCAGATCTTCGTTAGGTTCTGGGAAACATTATTAGGAATTCTTTAGAGTCACCCTTGCTGACCTAAGCCAAAACAAAAAACCAAACCAAAACAAAGCATATATGTACTGAAGCCACCAAGTGCCTCCCCATGTGTTTCAGGCTCTTCTGAGGCCAGGAGTACCAGAAACAAACTAAAAGGTTTTGACCTGTATTCCTGCTTCTACAATCAAAGTGGTAAGTAACCTTTTCAGTACATATTTCAATTTAATTCCAACATTAAATCAACTACCCAAAGTCAATATAGACTCAGCAGTCTCACATTTGCCAACAAGAATTTCCTCACAGCAGGCATTTGACACAGGTGTGAGGTTTCCAGATCACTTATACTCTGACAACCTAATGAGCCCAACCACCCCTTCAGGTGTGATCATTTTCTGTCATAACTCATAGGACTCGGGGCTCTCCAAATGAGTAAAGCTTTACTATACGAAATGCAAATTAAGATTAGCCAAATAAAGACACATGTAGGAGGGGCTGGTGAGTGAGAATGCTTTCTACTGAACCTGACGAGCTGGGCTCAATGCCCAGAACACACACTGTTCTAGAAACTGACTTTTGAACATTGTGTCCTGACCTCCACTTATTGTCATGCCTCTTGCACAGTTATCACCTACACACGTGGCTTTTGTGTAGAGCTTGGATTATTGTCCTAAACACAAAAGCATCTATCCCTTTACCTAGGGAAGCTGTGAAGCTAACTTGACATTGAGTACTCTTTGTATTGGGGTTTCTGTACACAGACCTGACTGCTAAAACCCTTGACTGTGTGGTTGAACTAAGTCTCTAATCCCCTACCTTTCTAGAGGTCAGGCAGATAAAAACTTTCTAACCCTCTAAACATGTAATGTGTCTTCCAGACATGACCAGTCTATATCATGAGACATGCCCCTGCATAACGTCATATGTGTTCCTAAAAGTATACCATATATAACAATAACCCTGTCACTGAGACATCCCAAGAGTTTAGAACCCAGGACAAGACCAGACCAGCCACACTAGTTTGTTGTTATCTAGCACCAAATTTTATATATATATATATATATATATATATATATATATATATATATATCTCAACCAAAGTTTAATTAGTATGACTTTCAGTGGAGGTAGAAGAAAATAATGATTTAGAGAGTAGCAAGACCTAGTAGATATGCATTCTTTAAGACCTAGTAGCACATTTTTAAAGGCCTAGTAGATACCTTTTCTTTGAGGCCTGACAGATTTTCCTTCATTAGACAAAGTCTACAAATTTCCTTAGAACTATTAAAACAGTAACGCATTCACCTGCCTTGGATCCTGAGGCATATGAGGCTAAATGTGATCATTTTAAGAGAATCACAATATTTTATTTAACCTTTTCACGTTCACCAAATGTAATATAACACCCACACAAATACAGCATCGCTCATACGCCTGCAACATGTAGGTCTTCAACCGTGAGGACTATGCTAAGACACTTAGTTGATTCTCTAGTCCAAGAACATCGATGTTGAAAATGCAATGAGCTTGATATGGTGGCTCAGAGCTGTAATCCCAGCACTTGAAAAACCTAAGCAGGAGATTTTCTACGAGTTCAAGAACAGTCTAAGCTATACTGTGAGTTCCAGGCTAGCCTATGCTACTGAGTGAGATCTTAGGGAGAGAGAGAGAGAGAGAGAGAGAGAG